AACTTAGCTTCATGTGAAATGCTTGATAATATAAAATAGTGGAGGTCTCCACATTTTCCATACTGTGGTCTCGATGATGTGAAAATATCAATCTCTCCAAATACCTGTCTTCATTTCTAACTAGCTTGGTTTATATTCATAGGCAAAAGACTAGATGAATATATACCAAATTGTTTTTGGTAACTAGCAGGGCATGAGGAGTTTTTATTTTTGATCTTTGTGTTTTTCAGTGCTTAAAACTTTTTCTAAAGGAAAAAGTGTATTCTTAAATAATTTTTTCACCTAGCTGGTCCTTTCATTATTGGAACAAGGCGTACGTACCTGAACTCACATGAACATACCCACAGAATAGAAGGTTCCGAATGGGCAATTACTCTCCTCTTTCTTCTTCGCAACACTTCCAGGCCCCACTGCCTTGACATACCTACTGTTAGAATTATTTGAATCTATTTTTTAGGTTGTTACCATTAAATATTTACACCAAGAATGAAAAGCTTAGCAGCAAACCGAGGGGTTCAAGCCACAGGTAACAGGAGGAGCCTCTACTCTGCGCCACCTGGTGTCTGGACTTGAGAATTGCAGGCCCAGGGGGGCCCCGTCTTTTTCAAGAGAAGGCAGAAATATCCCAAATTTCAAAAGTTAGCAACTAATGAATGATTGTCTAACCACTGTGCTGTGTACATAATAATATTGAAAGTAATCTGTAACTGGAAAATGTTGCAACTAACTAAAAAAAAATCTTATAAGTAATATCTGGGCCAAATACAGTGTATCTGAGGAACAGTTTCCATAGCTTTATGGCCTATACTTTAAGAACTAATTGTAGAGTGCTTGTTCTTAAATCGTCAACCTTAAACGATGTATGGTGATGAGAGATGAGGAATTTTGTTTACATACATTCCCTCCACTGCCTCTTCTTCCTTTCGCCTCCTCGCTTTTATTAGTTATCTTACTGCTGGTTCTCCCAGTGGCCTTTGTGACTTTATATATTTATGCTCCATTGAAAATTTCTTATCAACTTTCAACAGCATCTGTAGTATACTAGGAAGAGAGCATCCTTTTAAAAACCTCTTTAGTGCTCAGGATTACCCTTTATTCTATATCTGCAACATTCCAGCCACTTTACATGCACTCGCTTGTTTATTCAACAGATATTTGTTGAGTGTCTAATTATGTGCCAGGTGCCATTCTAAACATGGGAAAATACAGTGGCAACCAAAACAGGCTAAATACCCTCTGCCGTTGTGGAACTTGCATTAGCGCCTTTGGATTGGTAGCAGGGGGCGTGGATAATGTTACCGACCGGTGAGACAGAGAGTGTGTTAGAGAGTGGCCGGGGCCAAGATGGAGCAAGGAAGCAGTGTGTGTGCACACGTACATGTGCCGTGCATTTGTGTGTGCATATATGTGCATGTGTACCTGTGTGCATGCACATGTGAGCATGAACTTTTAGCTATGGTGCCAGGGAAGGTCTCCCTGAATAACAGGAAGATGAAAAGGAGTGGGACATGTGAGTATCTGCCGAGTGTCCAGCCCCACCCCTGGGCGCAGAAAGAGCTGAGGGTGGGCGGTGGAGTGTGTGGGAGGTCCTGGGAGGGAGAAGAGATGAGGCCAGACAGACGAGCAGGGGGGGCCTGAGAAGAGGCGACGGAGGCTCCCGGAGTAAGGGGGGAGCCTCAGGGAGTTCAGTGCGGAAGAGTGACATGGGCTGAGTTAGGTTCTTAAAGGGCCCCCTGGCTGCTGTGTGGAGAGCAGGTGAGGGGCAAGGAGAGAAGTAAGGAGACCGTTACATAATCTAACGTTGCCATAATCTAATCTAGGTGAGAGATGGTGGTCGTGGCAGTGATGGTGAGGGGAGAGGTGATGAGGAAGGTCAAGTTCCGCCGAGCCTGGAGAATGTGCTGACAGGCTGGATGTGAGCGAGAGAGAACGAGGATTCGGGCAGGGCTCCAAGGTTTTGATCTAGCTTTTGTCAAGTCATCAGAGATAAGAGGTTAGGTAGATACACACCAAGCTGTTGTTAGTGATTACGTTTCGGTGATAAGGTATGGGTGGTTTTTATTTTCACCTGTTTCTAACTGTTAACTATTTTAAAAGCAAAAACTGTATTGTTGTTGTTGTTGTTGTTATTTTAGGGTTTTCAGGCATGGCAAGGGTGTACTCAGTAGGTGGTAAAAACACCCCCTACTTGATTAAATTGTGTTAGTCAGCACTTGCCGCATCAGAAGCAACCCCATAATCTTCAGTTAGCATTCTTTCTCGCTTTTAGGTATGTGAGCTGCCCGGTACAGCTGTGTACCTGGCTGAGGTCAGGTTCAGGTGTGTAACGAATTTGCCATTCTAGAGTCTGGGTTAGAAGGGCCAAGGCCTACTGTTATGGTAGATGTTAGAAGTTCCCAGAGGAGTGAAAGGAAACACCTAATGCCTCTTAATCTCTAGGCTGGGAACCGGCCCCTCGTGGCTTCAGCCCATGTCCTATTGGCCAAAGCAAGTCATGTGGACAAGAACAGCACCAATGAGGCCACAGAGTGTACTCTGCTGAGAGTGAGGAGGGAGGAAATAGTTACTGAACAATCATCTAATACACCACAGCTTCGCTTTGATCTTTATTGCTTGTAACAATTTTACTAAGATTTTAAAAACTTTTGTTACACATTTTGTGTTTATTGTTGAAATGTTTGACAATCCAGAGAAACATTAATGACCAAAATAAAATTCCTTCTTATTCTACTACTTAGAGATAAACACTGGCAATATGTGGTTGAGTAACCATTCAGAGGAGAAAATTCACGGACATCCCAGACTGGCATGGGCCGCATCATTGAGACAACCATGGCCATTCAGCATCGGGTTTAGCGTTGGCTTCTGGAAAGTCAAAGAGACAGTCACCCAGCTGTGTGTCCCCAGAGGTTCTGTCATCAGGGCGGTTTCTCGCTATCTAGTCAATGAAACACACACAGTGTGTCAATCACCTTCAACATCTAACTTAGAGGTTCAGAAAAATCTCTTTTTTGCTTTATATATTGAAACTGTACTGAGCAGCTTAACGGAAATACAATATTTATTATTGCAAGAATAACATGCTACAGAGAGAGTATTTGGGGGTCACATCTCAGGAACCAGCAACCCATACCGTCCAATCAGAAGAAATGGGGTGGCACCGGACCCCGAATCTGGAAGGCGTTAGCAACGCTGTGGTGCCACACCCAGTGGGGACACACACACACGGGCTGTGAAAGCCACCGGCTGTATGTGCGAGAACACTCACTAGAGTCTCAAATATTGTCCCGGAGAAGTAAGAATTGAAATGAACAGTAAGAGAGGCTGTAGTGAAGTAGATACTTTAGGGAGACCTGACTCTGAGTCAACAAATGTTTTAATACAATCTTAATACAAAGCAGAGCTAGAGAGATTATAAAATAATCCTGAAAAATGTGTAATATTTTGGTGGGCTGCCATTCACCTCATTAAATGAAACAATTTTTTAAGAACGAAATTCGATTTCGTTATTCCATTTCATTTAGAATACGAAGCTTTCAACATAACCACCTACTTGGGAACTTTTCGCATCTTGTGAGGATCAATTAAATGCAGAATGTCAGCTTTTCCACTTCAGATCTCACGAGGAGAAACTCCAAACCCATGTACCAAACCACCCATGAGAAGTCTTGTCTACCCTGGACAGGACCCAGCGTGTGGGGGTCTGGAAACATTTTCAGAGCAGGGCGCTGGGAAAATTTTGTGCCTCCTGTCAAAATTCCACCCTCCTTCTATGCCACAGACGAAAAAATATTTGCTCTGGAAAGCAAAAGGAGCTAATATGGAAACTGAGTCTGGTCCTGAGTCAGAACAGGGTCTGGGGCAGCCCTTGGGCAAAGGAGCCCTGCCCACATCTGGGGGGGAAGTTTCAGGGGGTCCCCCCTCTTTATGGGTGCACTGCCCTTTACAGCTTGGAAAGTGATTTCCCATCTGGTACCTCGACCAGTTGTTCTCAAACTTTTGAGGTAGGGCCTGCTGGTGCCCCCATTTTACAGATGAGGAAACTGAGGCTCAGAGAGGCAAAACTAGCAAGTAGCGGAGGCAGAGCTCGAACCTGGTGTCCTGGCTGCGCATGTGCACTTCTGAGCCCTCCCTTTGGGCCAGGTCACCTCCTCTCTATGTAGCCCATCGCCCCCTGCAGCCCCCCTCAGATTATCTTTGTTCTGGGGAACCCCACAATCAATCACATCGTAACCAAGACGTAAGTAAGCCCTACGGTGAACACATCTGCACGACAGGTTGGAAGGCAAATCACTTTAAGGAAAAGCTTTCAGTAAGTAATCTGGGTCCTGCACTGTGGCAAACAGGCAGGTGCTGAGTGCTGGGCGTGTGTGAGAGGGCTAAGCAGGGCCAGGGACTGAAGTGATTCTGGGTTATCGGGGAGAATTTCCCAGCATCCACCCTGCAGATCAGTGAACAGACCACATCTCTTTCCTGATGGGCCCTAAAGACCTCTGGGTACCTAGTAGGTACCCCAAATTAAAAAGTAACTTTTGATGCCCCCCTTTCTGAACTGCCACCTGGCCCTGGCCCTCATTATCCTCGCCATCATTTTGAGCACCTACTATGAGCTCAGCCTTGAACTAGCTGTGGCCACAGAGCATCTCTAAACAGTAAGTGTAGTGGGGAGAATCCACCCAAAGGCTACAAAAGCATTTCTCCTAGGCTGACAGGAAAGGAGAACTGAGAGAGTTAGGGAGCCCCTGGGGAGAGAATTGGATTCGAAGGGGCCCTGGGACAGATTTTAGTGGTGATGTGCTGGTAAGTGTGGAAAAACTGCTCTCCAGGGGAAAAAGACTGTGTGTGTGTGTGTGTGTGTGTGTGTGTGTGTGTGTGTGTGTGAATTTTCCTGGGATGAAGAATGTGTTTGTTGCACAAAACTGACAAATCTACAAATAATAAAAACACTTCACTGAAAATACTCTTTATTATAAATTCCGTACCACCAATTAATTCTCACAGAATGTTTATGTATTTATTTTTTGCCAAACTCCTGTTCCCCCGAACAGCTGTGACTGCCAAGGAGCCTTGACCCCACCAAAGTAACTGCTGATAACGAGCCGACCGCCGGACTCAGCAGGAAGTCGCTCACCGCCGTGGTTCCCACACAGACACTGGTGCAATTTCTGCTCACGCCACTGAGTCAGAAGAGAGGGACGCAGTGAAGGTGGAGGCCGGAGCTCCTTCATCACTGACATGAGCAACGTGCCGGCCAGACTGGATAACGGCTCACGTCCTGGAGCCGAGTTTCCGCAATTTTTTGTGCCATTCCCAAGGTACTGGCTTTAGACACAACAGACACAGTTTTAAGTATAATTGGCACTGTTAACATTATAGCCATCATGTTCTTAGGACTGTAAAACCAACACAATAAATCAAGCCTGGATTTTCAATGGTCCCCAATCTCCATGGTGCGAATACCAAGCTCCCCATGGCCAGTGTCAAGAGACCTACAGGAAGGATGTCGTTGAAGGGGGGACCAGGAAGGAGCGCTCAATCTCTCCCCTATGTCCCTCCTACGATACAAAAGACACAAATAACCTTGAGAGCACAGGTAACAGTAAAATGTGGTAAAATAAGGAAGGAAGTGATGACTTTTTTAGTATTTGTCTCCTTTGTTTTTAATACAATTTACTTAATTATAACTTTAAGAAACTTAATTTCTTTTAGTGGCTGTGTTTAACAACCAGCTTGCGAAGATCCTGAAAATTTAACAATCAGCTCTCACAAGCCAGGACAAGCCGGCTCCGGCACACCACTGGATCTAAGGGAAGTACAGGCGCCCTTAAAATGGTCCAATTTGGGATTTTCTGACTTCACGATGGTGTGAAAACAATACACAGATGTAGTTTGAATCCTGACCTGTCCTGGGCCAGTGATACGCAGTATAATACCCTGGCATGACACTGGACCTCGGCAGCGAGTCTCAGCTCCCAGGCTGCCACTCCATCACGCAGGTAAACAGCCGATACTCCGAGGTGTATTCGTTTTGTTCGATGACTGTGTCCAACGGGAGGCTAATTAACGTAAGTGTCCCGAGCACAGTTAAGGCAGGCTGGGCTAAGCTATGGTGTTTAATTGGTAAGGTGCATTAAATGCACTTTCGACTTTACGAAGGGTTCACGGGGATGTAGTCATGCCATAAGTCAAGGAGCATCTTGTTTCTGGGGCCAGAAAGGAGAGGAGAGGGGCTGAGGGACCAGAGTGCTGGGGGCTGTGTCAGCACCCAGACGTGCAGGCACGGTGACGAGGCCTCATCCAACGCCAGCACCCGGGCCTACTCTAGCTCTTCATCCTCAGCATCCAGGAACTCCTTGCCGGTCCCTTCCTTTGCCAGTGACCTCTGGCCTGAGCTCCCTGTTCAATCTCTATCTGACTCACCTGTTGGGGAACAACCCTTTATAATGTCCCAAAGGCAGGGGCCTGGGTACTGAGGTGAACAGACACCCCGGCCCCCCACTCCCTGACTAGCTAAATGGGACCAGCTGAAGACTTTCGTGAAGGGAGACAGAGTGACATACACCCCGGGGGGCATAATCGCCCCAGACTGAAAAGGCAGACACTGGAGCTCCAGGGAGCTGTTACTCACCCAGGGTCCACAGCTGCCAAGAGGTGCGGGCAGCACTGACAACCAGGTTTGTCGGCCCCCAGGCAGCTTTCTGCATGAAGAGGCAACCAGCACCATCCCGGCATCGCCTCCAGCAGGCGTTCCGTGCTCTTGGATGTTAGCGCACACGGCTCTGGACTGCTATTGGCCTCTCCACCGATAAAACGTCCCTCCCCAAGAAAGGCAATGCACGACCTGAGACCAGGTCGAGTACCCATGTTGAGTATTTGTTGTATTACCAGCAGTTAGAATCCCAACTCACCGGTGTCGGAAGCCATCTTTAAGAACAACCTGACCCAGGGGACCCACTGTACATATGGGGGAAACTGAGGCCCAAGGTCACACAGCAATGACACCAGCAGAATCAGGACTAGAACTCAAGCCTCCTGTCAACCAGTCTGGGCTGCTGGTGAACGGCAAATATTCTGGGTAAGAGAATTAGAGGGGTGAACAAAACCGATCTCTGAAAGCCAAACAAACAGGCTTCCACCTCACTGAAGAGTCCCAGCCAGATGAAAAAAGGGAGCAGAGAATATGGTATCCTCAGCTGGATTTAGGGGTGATACCAGAAGAGACTTCCTGCCAGGTCTGGTACCCCAGAGATTCTTTGAGAAGGCCCAGGGAACAGCGGAAACGCCATAGGATGTTCTCATTATAAGTCCTGCAGAGATGTGCAGTCAGTGGGGAAACTGAGGCAAGAAGGCAGAGCCTGAGACTGAACACGAAGAGTTCTGGGTGCTCAGACTTTCGTCCTTTCCACCCTCCCACAAAAGACCTCCTCTGGGGCAGGGGTCAGTCTCAAAGGACCACCTAGAACTTGTGCTCTGGGGCCCAGGCAAGCAGGGAGCTGGACACAGTCTGCTAAAACCACGGTCCTGGCATTTTCCAAGCAGATGGACTCCTCAGGAGGCCACAGAGACCTTCATGCGGCTGTACTGGACACCAGATGTGCTCTGCCGGTGGCCAAAGCTCGGGGCAAACCTGTCAAGCAGAGGTGAGTAGTCAGCGGGTGGCAGGGCCTGGGAGCCTTCCTGGAGGAGACGGCAATGGAGCATCCCCTGGGACCCCTTGTCCCATCCCCGCCGTGCTCCCACCTGTCCCTTCCTACTTCCTGCCTTAACATGCATGTCCATCTTCTGAATGTCCCGACTGCTCCTCTGGGTCTCCTGTGCCTGCCCTTGCCTATTTTGTCGGCCTGCCTATTTTCTGTCCCTCTCCGTCTAGAATGGAAGCTTCATGAGGACAAGGGTCTTCTCCATCTTATTCTCAGCCATGTAGCCTATGGCCCAGGACACTGCCTGGCACACCAACCACTTGCCCTGGCTGGTATGGCTCAGTGGACTGAGTACTGGCCTGCAAACCAAAGGGTCACTGGTTCAATTCCCAGTCAGGGCACATGCCTGAGTTCCGGGCCAGGTCCCTAGCAGGGGATGTTCGAGAAGCAACCACGCATTGATGTTTCTCTCCTTTTCCTTCTCCCTCCTTTCCCCTCTCTAAAAAAAATCAATAAAATCTTTAAAAATAAATAAATAAATGCCCACTGAATAAGTGGATTAAGCCCACAGTTCTTTGCACGAGGTTTTTTTATTTTATTTTATTTACTTATTTATTTTTTAAATGACAGGAATTTTTTTAAAGATTTTATTTATTTATCTTTAGAGGGGAAGGGAAGGAGAGAGGGAAAGAAACATCAATGTATGGTTGCCTTTCATGCATCCCCTGCTGGGAACTGGCCTGCAGGGAACCGGCCTGCAACCCCGGTATGTGCCCTGACTGGGAATCGAACCGCGATTGTCTGGTTCGCAGGCCCGTGCTCAGTCTACTGAGCTACACCAGCCAGGGCTGCACGAGGTTTTAAAAGGCCACAGTCATAATGTTTGGTTTCGCCAAGCTTCCACGACTCGAAGATTCTCTGGTTTCAGAGATTCTACTCTTCCAACGTCCGGGGATTCCACAATTGCACGATTTAAAGGTTTAAGCTGGGCTTATAGTCAAAGGAAAGAAACTCTGCTGTAGGAAGGCACAAAGGCAGCTCGAAGACACATAAAGACAGGGAAAAAACACGCAGTGTCTGGGCAGTACCAGAGGCAAGCGGAAGAGGAACCCGCTCCCTTGCAGAAGGCAGCCGAAGTCCTGCAGTGGGGGGCTCGGGATGGATGGGACTCTCCCCCACGCCCGCCCTGTCCCCCTTACCGTCGCCTCTGGAATTGCTGGTCTATCTCTGCCAACGACTGGCCTTTTGTTTCAGGGACAAATAAGTAGATGAAGCCCAGACCAAGGACGGCGGTCAGCCCATACAGCAGGAAGGTCCAGGACAAGCCGATGGTGCCTGGGAACAGGGGGAGGGATTGTAGGCAGTGTGCGGCCAACTGGCTGGTTCCAGGTCGCACAGGGAAAGTCAGTTCACCTACAGAGGGTTCTCCAGATGGTTGATTTGCAGAAGGACCAACAACTGTCAGGTAAGGACCTTCCAGCAGGAGTAGACTGGTTGTCCCAGAGGTGGGCAAATGATCACGGCTCAGACCCCAAACCCGACAAGGGCATTTTGCCTTTTCTGGGGAAGCCCACTCACCCACACTGAAAACTCTACCAGTGGAGTGCGCTCGGGATCTGAAAACATGAGCGGAGGGAAAATAATACTCCCCTCAACAGCGAACCAGCTGTGGGACGCAGGCTTGGCAAAGCCCAGCTGCAAAAAGAATCCTCTCCCTTTATCTGACACCAGTTTTCCTTTGGGAAATGACTCCAGCCAGCTTCTGGTCCACTGGTTGGCGAGGTAGCCTCCATGTCCACACCCCAACCCCAGGGTGGGTTATGACCCAGGCCTGGAGCCTAGGGTACGGAAACAGCCCTCTAGCCACAGTGATTGATTCGGGGGCATGTGACCTTGCTGCCAATGAGAAGCAGTTCTAGGTCTCGGGGAGGAGCCACTGGCAAAAAAAATGCTCTCTTTCCAAGGGGCTGCCAATCCGAGGAGACCTGCCACCTGGAGGTGGAGGTGTCTGCCTGAGAGTGAAGCCCACGGTGTGGGAAGCAAGCAGAGTGGAGAGAGATGAAAGATGGCCACAGTTGTACTGGAGCTGCTGGATCAGCCGTGCGTGAAGCTGACGGCTTTGTGAGTCCTCACAAAAATACTCCCTTTGGTTCATAAACTGGCTTGCATCAGGTTTCCTGTCATTTGTACCCAGACCAATAAGGAAGCCCTGGCTCTGTCGTGGTGGGGGGACATTATTCCTGCATCTAGAAGGAACTGGACCAAGGAATTAGGTCAGGAGGACTCACCGATGAGGTCGAGGAAGGAGAGGCTGATGAAGAGGTTGGCGGCCCAGTTGAAGCTGTTACAGAAGGCGAAGGCCCTCCCTCGGATCTCCGCGGGGTAGATCTCGCTGAGGACAAGCCAGGTCACTAGGACAGGAGGGCAGGGAGGGCTCCTAGGCTGGGGCCGGGGCGGGGCCGGGGCCTGCACCCACACCCACAGTCCAGCAGGCAGCCTCCCACTGGCGTGATTCACATGGAGTCAGGCTCCTGACACCACATTCTCCCCGCTGCTTCCCCACCCGGCTGTAAGAATCCCTTTAGCGTGACCAACAGTCCTGGTTTCCCCAGGACGGACGAGGGTGCCTGGCACACAGGAGTTTTAGTGTCTTGGGCAAACCCGGGTGGCTGGTCATTCCTATGCATTACATTCCCTTCAAGTAGAATTTTTTGAGTGAGCTAGCTACCCAGAAGCTAATTCAGGTGTTATAAAGCCTGAAGCTTAAATGATTTGGGGGCTTTTTTTTTTTTTTAGTAAAAAATATAAAAATCAGGCCCCTGCCCTCAAAAGGAGTGTCTGGAAATATGCGAGGGGCCCTGACGCTAAAGCTTCACTGGCTTTACAGTCGAGGCCCCTCTAGTGTCCTTCTGAGACCCGGAGGGATACCGTCCCCAAGCTGCCCCCTAAAGGGTAGGAAGCTGAGTGACCTGCAGGAAACTCCCGCCTACCTGGTCCAAATCCAAAGGAGAAGGCGCTCACAAAGAGCATCATGCAGACCAGGGCGGTCCAGTGCAGCAGGGCTCGCCCGGGGGCAGGAGAAGGCGATGCCTGGGAGGTGGTGCTCAGGGCTGGCCCAGGAGGGGTTGTGGGGTCCCCAGCTCTGGGGTGGCGCCTGGTTTTCCCAGAGGTTGACGAGACTGGCTCCCCTTGGTTCTTGCTGGTTGTTGGCGGTGGATGTGAAGGCAATCCCATTGGCTGGTCCAAGTCTCCAGGGAGGTTTGCTAGCCCGGTGGCATTGGGCGTGGCCAGGCAACTTGGGCCTGAGTCCATGGGCACAGCAAAGCTGACGAGGCCTATGCCACTGACTGACAGGGCCATAAGGGCACAGCCAGCTAGTAATAGGGCCCTGCGGCCCGCTCGGTCCACCAGCCCCATGGCAGTCAGGGTAGCTGCCACCTTTACAGCGCCGAGCCCCACTGAGGCCAGCACAGCGGAGGATCCCCCACGGAAGCCGACCGAGTGAAAGATGGTGGAGGCATAGCACAGCACATTGGGCTGCCCTGTCAGCTGCTGGAAAAGCACCAGCCCCAGCCCCACGGTGGTCCGGCCTCGCATGTTATCCCGTTCCCTGAAGAGGTCCAGGAAGGAGTATCTTGGCCTCCCCAGGCACAGCCTGCTGGCCTCACCTCCCTGGAGCGGGATGAGGTCCCTGTGAGCTGTGGCCTCATCTGTATCAGCAGGGAGAATGAGGAGGCTGAGGGACTGCAGGACAGCAGGAGCAGCAGCCCAGCCGAACATATGCCTCCATCCCTGGGGGACACCGGCCAGTGCGTAGTTGAGTGCGTAGGACAGCAGGATGCCCAGAGTAATGCCTGCCTCGTAGAGGGACACCAGCACTCCCCGCTGCCGTGGTCCCACCAGCTCTGACACGTAGATACAGCAGGCCATGGAGGAGAGGGAGATGGCAAAGCCAGCCACTGAGCGGCCCAGGACCAGCCAGGCCAGGGAGCCAGCCAGGCCCAGGCTCAGGCTGCCTACCAACAGCACTACGTTGCTCCCGAGGATGGCATGCTTCCTGCCGTAGCGATCGATGAGGAAGCCCCCTACCAGGGAGGCGAGCAGAGCCCCCAGGAGCAGGCTGCCCACCAGGAACTCCTGCTCCAAGCAGCTTAGCCCGAAGTCAAGTTGCAGCGGCAGCAGCGCACCTGATATGACTGCCAGTTCATAACCAAAGGTCAAGCCCCCCAGCAAAGACACAGAGGCACACAGGGGCAGGAGGGGCGGTGGGTGGCCTGGAAAACAAAAGTGACGGGGACCAAAGTCAGAATGGTTCCTTGCCCAGAGCCTCTACCCATCCAACTCCTCTCCATCTATCAGCTGCTCCATCTGTTCATTCAGCTACTCCACCCATCTACCTACTCATTTATCCATCCATCATCCATCGAGCCATCTACTCATCTTCCACCATCCATCCACTCCTTCCTGTATCCACCCATCTCTTCATCAATCTACTCTACCCATTCACCTCTCTATCCACTCACTGATCCATCCATCCATCCATCCTTCATCCACCCATTCACTCCTTCCTTCATCCATTCACACATCTATTTATGGACCAATCTACCCATCCCTTCATCACACACTCCTCCATTTATCTATCTACTCCACCCATCACATATTCATCCGTTGACTTGTGCACTCATATGCCCCTTCATTCACCCAAACGTTGACCCATTTATTGACCCATCTGTCTGCAAATACATCCACTCATCCCTCCATCTTTGTATTCCATCCCTTACGTACCCATACATGCAAGCACCCACCCACCCACCCAACCATTCATTCAAGAACTTATTTATCTGGCATCTGCAATACACCAAGCCATATTCTTGGGGCTGACAATACAGTGGTGTTACTAAGGGTCTGATGTTCTCATAGAAAAAGCCAGACGATGAGCAAATATATATGTGTTATAACTTACACAACAGGGAAAGGGGACTGAGAGTGGTTGGGGACTTCTATTTTAAGTAGGGTAGTCAGCTAAGGCCTCTCTGAAGAGGGAAAATTCAAACGGAGGGTAATCAATGAAGTGAGGGTAAAAGTCCTACAAAATATGGAAGAAAAAAACATTCTAGACAGAGGGACAGCGAGAACCGAGGCCCTGAAGCAGGACGGGTTTTGGTATGACTGAACAATAACTATTAATATGAATAGCTAGTGCTTATATGGCACTTACTAAGCACCAGACCCTGTTTTAGGAGCTTCCCATGTACGTACCCACTTAATTCCTCATTTACAACAACCCTATTACACATTATTATTGGCATTATCCTCCAAGACACAGAGAAGTTAAGACAGTCTCTCATGGTCACACAGAAAGGATGTGGTAGCGCTGAGGTAGCCAGAGAGTGCAGGCCTTTAGCCACCACGCTGTTCGGAGAGGAGGCCAGAGTGGCTGCAACACAGCGAGCGAGAGCGAGAGGAGATGGGGCCCGATGAGCTGGAGCGGCGCAGGGCACGAGGACTATGATGAGTTTTGCTGCTGCCGGGGGTGAATGCGTTTGAAGGCTTGAGCTGGGGAGAGAGGTGATCTCCGATCGTCACGGGCGCCTGTGGGGACTGGGCGCTTAAAATGCAGCCAATGTGATTAGGGAGTGGAATTTTAATTGTATTTAATTTTAATTAATTTAAATGTAAAAACAGCCACAGGTGGCTAGCGGCCACCGTATCAGCAGTTAAGTTATACGGTTTACTTTGATTTTTAAAAAAGGATTTATTTATTTATTTTTTTAGAGAGAGGTGAAGGGAGGGAGAAGGACAGGGAGAGAAACATTAATATGAGAGAGAAACATCAATCAGTTGCCTCTTGTACAGGCCTCCACTGGGGACCGGGCCACCACCCAGGCATGGGCCCTGACCAGAAATTGAACTGGTGATCTTTTGCCTTGCAGGACACTGCCCAACCAACTGAGCCACACAGGTCAGGGCTACTTTGAATTTTTAATTCACATATTTAAACTTAAATATTTCTGGAAGTATCTAGAGTAATCCGGCAGTTTCCATCTCACCCCATGCCCTTCGTGAGCCGGCCCAGCCGAGCCCCCCAGACCTGACCACAGCATCCATAACACCATAACCAGATCTACTGTCTTCTCCAGCCCAAACTGCACTTAAAGCGCTGCTCTGAGAACTTTAAGAGCAATAACTCATTTGCTTCTCACTACAACTTTTTGACCTGGGGTTCTGTATTATTTATGAACGAATACACAATCCGAGAGGTGAAGTGACTTGCCCAAGGTCAAAAGTAGTGAGTAGCTGTGCCTACATTCAAAGCCAGGACATCTGGCTCCATGGCCCATTCTCTTCACCACTCCATTAGAAAACCTTGGCATGATATGGTTCCAATCTGTTGTCGCTCATGTCTGCCTCTCCTCATCTCTGTTAGACAATATTTGCACAGCGGGGAGGAGTTTCATAGGTGGAAAAATGCCCCCCTTTCTGCTCAGCCTTCTCCCCATCGCTTCTGCCTCCGAGGGAAATAACCTCCTGTGTTCATTCACTGGCCGGCCTTGTCCCTCCTCATGACCATCAGCGAACATCCCGGGGAGACTGTGCTGCCCAGGCGCTGGCCCCGAGTCACCTCCGTTGGCCCCACCTCCCTCGGTTCTTGGAGTTTACAGCCAGAGAGGAAGGTCCTTCCGGTCCACATGAGGCAATCAGGGAAAGCACAGAATCGGGTTGCCATATCCTGGCTTCCTCTTGAGGTGAAAGGGAAGCAAGCCAAAGGGTTCAGAGGCAAAGTTGACTGTCTCCAGGTTTGGCTGGAAAATGCACTGGAGCAGATTCCAGCCACAGTGGTAAGAGAACGGCAAACACAAACATGAAATGGAACAGTCGTAATAAATCGTCACTTACTGAGTATCCCCTCTATGCAACTTTAGGCGCCTTCTTCAATTCATCTTTGTAACAACACTAGGTGGTGCGGCTCCAGTCACCCCCACTTTACAGATGAGGAAACTGAGGTCAGAGTGTTCTCACGGCCGAGAAGCAACAGGATCAGGACTGAAACACTGACCCATCTGACTCCCAGACCTACATACTTAAGAGCTTTGCTAAACTGACTTAAAGCAAGACGGGCTAATCAGGGATGGGTGGGGTGTGAGGAGAGCAGGGACACAGCAGGGTGAAGTGGAGGGGAGGTGAAGCTCTCGGGAAAACCCTACGTCACAAAACCTAGGGGAATGATACTGTCCCAGGGGCCACGAAGGGAAGTCTCAGAGGAGTCGGGGCCATTAGACATCATTCCCACAAGTCTTCCTCAACTTTCCAAGCCACATTTTCCACTTCCAACCAACTCCGCATGCCCCATTTGCTTACACCATTCTGCGGGTTCATTGATGTGTCCTCCTTAGCAAATTGGACAGGACAGGACACAGACACTGTCTCTGTGTCTCCAAGGGGCTGGGGAAGGGGCAGCCCAGCTTCGTCCTAACACCCAAGAGGGGCTCATGGGGTTCTTTCCGCTGAAAGAACCGATGACTGAGTTGGGGACCAGGGTGGGACCACCACGTGGCATTGCAGGGGCTGTGTCGGGGACATGGGAACCTATTCTAATGCTACTCGGCAACCACAGGGACCCTGTGACAGCCTAAGTCAGACGGTGTCATTCTACTCAGAGCCCTCCGAGGCTCCCCCTTCTCTCTGAAAATAGTCAACGCCCTTACAGTGACCTTCAAGGTCCCGCAGCATCTGCCTCCTCTCACTCTGCTCCTCCGGCCACACCAGGCTCCTTGCTGTTCCTCCTCACTCCAAGCACGTCTCCACTCAAGGCTTTTTTCCAGCTCTCACCTCTGATGGGGAAGCCCTCCCCTCCATGCCAAGGGCTCCTTCCCTCCTTCCCTCTGCTCTCCGGTCAAACATCACCTTCTCCTGAGCCCTTCCCTGGTCCTCTACCTATAATAGCAACCTCCCCATAGCATCCAGCACTTTGTATCCCCTTTCCCTGCTTGTTTTTTTTCCTCCCTGATACTCATCACTGTCTGAAATAACTACATATTTTACATATTTGTTGTTCTTCTCTACCAGAATGTCAGCCCCAAAGAACAGGAATTGTTCGTTTAGCTGTCTCCCTGATCCTGAGGAAAGTACATGGCACATAGTAGGCACTCAGTAAATACTCATTTAAGAATAAAGGGATGAATGAATGAACGAACTCTGGGGATGCAGGAAGTCCAGAGAGAAAGGATCTTGGCTCTTGAGCATCTGGCAAGGTCCAGGGCCTAGAAGGAGCCATGGGCAGGAATAGAGCAAATCCTGGCCCCCAAATTAGGGCTCTGGAGCTGGAATTGGTGGGCAGCTATGCTGTTACCCTGTGCATGAGAGGCTGGGTGGTGCAGCGGTCAAGAATGCAGACAAGAGCCAGAGTGCTGGGGTTCCATCCCAGCTTCTCTTCTTCGCAACCGTGACCCTGTGCAGCTCACTTGACCTCGCTGAGCCTCCCCATCTATACAGGAGGAAACTAGTCCTACCTGCCTCAGATGCCTGCCTACCTTGTAGCCAGTGTGAGCTAGTATGATTCTCCACAGAACAGCGCGCAGTTTTTTAAGGCACAATTCAGGTCATGTCCCACTCAAGCTTAAAACCCATCTCTCCCTTCTTATGTCATGTGGAATAAAAGCCACGCTTCTCACTATAAACTACAAAGTCCTGCATAATCCAGTCTTTGCCCACCTCTCTGACTCTCCCTTTGCTCACCGGGCTCCAGCCACGCTGCCCTGGACCACGCAAGCTTACTCCTGCCTCAGGGCCCTTGCACTTGCTGTTCCTTTAATCCGGAAGCCCTCCTCTCAGGTTTTAGCAAGCCCACTTCTTTTGAGACTGAGGTTTATGCTGTCTGCCACCACCCAGCCAAAAAGCAGAGGCAGGGATTGGATTATAATCATGCTTTTATTAATCTCAGAGCCCAGCACTCTGAGAAGGGGGCAGGTAAAAACCCAAACACATGCAGGGGAAACGTGGGAATTTGGGAGGGGGAAACTCCAAGGAGAAGCACAGATGTGCTGTTTCTCTGGAGATTAAGGGGAGGGGAGCTGAAAGGGGGGTCTGCAGCTTCTTCCGGGGCTGGCTCCTTTTGTTCCGTGTTATCTCTCCATTTGCATCAGCCTTCCCCTCTTCCCTGAACACCTGTGGTTTATGGCCAGGGAGGTGACCATGTTTTCTGGTCAGGGAGGAGCAGTATAAACCATTTGCTCTCTAGTGTCCTGGGTCAGGGGAGATAAGATCTCGCAATTCACCAGGTGGCTGTAAGTTGCTCAAACTGATGGGCCTTGTTTCATTTTCTTGTCTCAGTTCCCCCATTCCACTCACCCAGGAATTTTCCTGGCATCTTCCTATCTGTCTCAATACCTCAGATCCAAAGCCTCCTGGTCCCCGAGGCCCTCCCTTCCTGCTTCCATCACTGCTGTCACACCACCTTATTCTGTATGTTCCTCTGAGTCCCCAGTGTCTGCCGCACGGTAGGTGAATGAATGACAGAGTGACCTTTTGAGGCTCTGAATCCAGAGAAAGATGTAAAAACCTTGGTCCCTGTAGCAACAAAGAAATTCCCGGTACCCGCACACAGTGCCGCATTCTGATCCCCCCTATCTCCCTTCTGTTGAATTATTTCCAGAGCAGGGGTTTTGTCTGTTTTGTTCACCGCAGCATCCTCAGCCCCGGTGAACAGTGGTGTTCGGGTGATCGATTAATGGATTTTGCTCCTTGCGGAGCCTCTGTTTCTTCATCTGCAGGCTAGAACAATCTCACTTGCCTGGGCTTGATGTAAGGTTGGAAGCGGGTAAGAGAGGGTCTGGCCCAAGTGAGCGCTCAGTACTGAGGAAGGAACTCTCTCGAGTCACCCTCATCTGGGCAGAAAGGAGTTTGGAAGGAAGTTCGCCCAGGTCCCTTCCCAGGCCCCAGGCAAGGCCTGGTGTGTGGGGCCCGCCGCCGCCCAAGTGGGCGGTATCTGGTCAGGGGGTGCAGCAAGGGGCGGAGGGGCGCGCACTGATGGGGTCTCGGGGACTCCCTGGCGGGAAGCGCCTGGTTGCGACTTACCCATAGCGAGCAGGACACCCAGGCGTGCTGCGGGCGCTGAGGGGCCAGGAGCACATCCCCGGACCGGTGTCCCCACAGTGGCCGCCGACAAACTTTCTGGCCGGCCCGCCTCCGCCCCTCCCTTCTGCCTGCCCGCCCCCAGCGCCGCTGCCACGTAGGCCGGGCCTGGCCCCCTGTGTCTGGAGGCGTGAGAGAGGGGCGCCCGAGCCAGGCTGGGGCCCCCACTCGCTGTCCTCCCGGGGAGAGATGTCTCCTACCGTCCTCCCCCAAGCTGCTGCCCCTTGTCACTCCTGTTGGGGGCTCACACAGGTTTCCCCCTCCAACCACCCACCTCCCCCCTCAGGGAAGAAACTTCCCAATTACTTCAGTCCACGTGGATCTGGTCTCCAATGTGTACACACACACACACACACACACACACACACACACACTCATGCCTTTACAGTAATGGGGACACAGACATATTCACTTCAGCCGCTCACTCTCCCAGGGATTCATCCTTGATCCATTGGACGCAGGTTTGGACACCTCCCAAATGACCACAGGCACCGTGCCATCCCCTTGGGGATGGGCTTGGAGAACAAAACAGATTTGTTTGTTCTTGTGCAATTCTTGTGCAAATTTTGTTTGTTCTTTCTAGTGGGGGGAGAAAAGAGTTAAATAACCAGCCAGGGAGGTACCAGCTAAGGTAAAGGCTAGGCAGAGAATTAAACTGGGGTGATGGGCAGGCGCAGGCGGCTGCTTCAGCCCGGGGTCTGGGAAGGCTGTTCGGAGGAGGGCTGAGCCCTCAGGTTCCGGGAAGAAGGAAGAGCAAAGGAACAGCCCTGCAGTGGAAGGAGCTTATGCGGTATTAAAAAAAAACCACAACAATAACCACAGAAATAAAGCCAGAGTGTCTGGGACACAGCAGGCGACTGATAGGGAGAGTCTAATCAAGCATTTCAGCAGCATCTTCAAAAACGGCTTTCTTTGAGGGTGAGCGGGACCTAGTGACTCATTTCTAACAAAGAGAATACAGCAGAAGTGACTATGTCATTTTGGAGATTAGGTTGTAAAAGACTTCATCTTGCTCATCCTCTCCTGACCTCTCACTCATTCACGCTGATGAAGCCACCTGCCATGCCATGAGCTGCCCAATGGAGAGGCCCACGTGGCAAGAAGTGAGGGGGACTTCCAGGCAATAGCCAGCAAGGAACCAAGGCCCATGAAGGTATAAATTCTGTCACCAATCAAATACTGACACAAACAAACAGAAAACACAGTCCGTGACAGTGTAAAAGAGAAGAGCCTCATAGGGACGCCAAGCTTATCAAAGTTGGGTTTTGTCTCTTCTGAGAAGCCAGGAGGGCTTCCCTGAGGAAGTGATATTTGAGCTGGGAAGGAAAAGATGTCTAGATGGGCCTAGGAAACGAAGAGAGGAAAGAGAAGTGGGATCTAGCAGGTGCAAGGGCTCTGCAGCAAGAGGGAGCCCGGCAAGAACAAGAGAAGGCAATTATGTTGGAAGATTCCAGGGCAAAGGGAGTTTGGTGGGAGATGGGTCTGGAAAACAGGACATAGTGGTTCCATGCAGGACCCCACGGGTCTTTAAGTACAGTGGGGAGCCGTTGAAAAGTTTTAAACTAGGTTACCTGCCATAGAAGCCAGAAGCAGTCTGACCATAGCAAGCCTGAGACCTGTAAATATGTTTGCACAATGCATTTTCCAAAGGCGGGGTTCAGGCAGATTTAGTAACTATAGAACTAGAAGGTTATGTGGACACTAACAATGAGCGATAATGCAGCCACACGCTTGGGAGGCTGGGCGTTACAAATCGAGTTGGTTTGGGGTGAACTTTGAGAAGTCTGGGTTGATGGAAGTTGCTGGAAACCACAGTATGCCACCATGGAGGGTCTGAGGTTGAATACGTGACCTGCGCTGTGCTGAATGGAGCCGCAGAGCTGAGAGTTGGCGTCGCGGCAACCCTAGGACCAACGGGCCTTTTTTTCTACAGTATTTCAGAGTCCCAATGATAGACAGGAGAAGGAAAATGAATATATGAGGAGTGTATGCAACCCAATAGACACCCTCACGGGCAACATCTTCATTTTAATACGCAATGATCAAAGTAAAACTGATTATATCTTCGTGGTGACAATGATGACATTGACACTCAAAGAAATGATGCTTCTTGCTGCCTTACACACTGTGCCAGACACCTTTCGTTATCTCCTTAATAACAACACCCAGCTCAGGGAAAGAACTGAGATTCTGGAGAAAGTTTTTCTCGAGCCGGTCCACCGTTATCCGGAGAGAGCGCCGAAGAACTGGGAGGCGGGGCCACGAAAGTCTTCTCGAAGGGCTTCAGAAAGAGCCGGAAAGTTGGGAGGCGGAACCACTTGCGCAAAGCGGAAGTGCCGGCGTCCGATTGGCCGGAGAGAGCCGAGGGTTTCCGGAGAGAGCCGAGAATTTCCGGAGCGAGCCGTTGGGCAGAGCCGAGGGTCGCGGAGGTACAGTCATGGCGGCGGCCGGTGCTGCAGCTGGTGAGACGGACGAGGAACCGGCGGCGGAGGCCGTGGCGTTGGCCGCGGCGCGGGAGCGGAGCAGCCGCTTCTTGAGCGGACTGGAGCTGGTGAAGCAGGGCGCCGAGGCGCGCGTGTTTCGCGGCCGCTTCCAGGGCCGCGCGGCCGTAGTGAAGCACCGCTTCCCCAAGGGCTACCGGCACCCGGCGCTGGAGGCGCGGCTCAGCCGGCGGCGGACCGTGCAGGAGGCCCGGGCGCTGCTCCGCTGCCGCCGCGCAGGTGAGACGGCCCGGCTCGGGGGCATGGGGAGGCCCGAGGCTCCGGGGTCCGGGCGACGCGGGTGCGGGACTCCCCTGCGCCGAGTGCCTTCTGCGTGGCCTTGGGTATTTAAGAAATGCCATCCTTTCCTACCTCTCTTCTTCCATTAATTCTTAAGGAGCCTCTTGGCCTTGTAGCGACGAACCTTTGTCCTGGAGCCATTGAGACTGGTTCGGTCCCCGGTTCTGCCACTGTTGCTCGACGTTGAGCACCTTATTTAACCACCCTCAGTCTCGGTTTCCTCTTTTGTGCCGTCTCGGTGTGTGATCATTGTCTCTTCATTTCTTTTACAAACCAGAATACAAGTAGTTACCCTGGAGCCAGGCCCTCTGAGTGCAAGTGTCCACACTACTGTCCTATCAACACGTTATTTAACCTCTCAGCCTGTTCCCTCACCTGTAAAGGGAACTCACAGTTGCAGTAATAATCTCCTAGGGATATTGGGACCATTAGATGAGTGTGTATGCCACCTGTTACATTTGGCTGTATGACTGGCACATAGCGCTTGATAAAGTTGGCTGTCATTAAATAGCTTATTTTTGTTTTCATTACAACACCATGTGCGCCATCACTGAAACCTGTTCTCAGATGAGAAACTGAGTCTCAGAGAGGGGAAGTAACTTGCCCAAGGTTAGTGACTCAGCTAGTTAGTGACCGAGCCCGGTCCTCAGCTCACATCGCTCTGACTCAGAAAAACGGGCTTTTCATAGACACCTGTGTACACCTGGACATTGTTAGGTGCTGGGAGATCGGGAAAAAATTCAGTAGTGAACTAGCAGGCATATCCTCCTTGGATTTAATGAAGTTATTTGTGTGTTCATACTTTCTTTTTGCATCCTCTCTAGGAGGTAAGTTTCATTAAGCAGGGATGTGGTGGTGTTATTTCCTGCTGTATTTTCCCCCGCCCCCTCCCCCTATATTCCCACTATCTAGAAGTGTTCTGTGCATGGTTGACATTCAGTAAAAATTCATTAAATCTTTGGAAGTCTTGTTCTCATGTTACAGAAATGGAGATGTAGAGAAATTGATGTGACATTAAGGTTATACAAGTGTTCGACGGAGTGTAAATGAGGTTTTATTCAAGGGTCTTAGAATTTGCAAATCAGAAACGCTACCAGGTATCACCCAGAGTGTACCGAAGGAAAGAGACAAGTTGAGAGTTCTAGTAACAAGTTCATTCTTGAGAAGAATCAGACCTGTATCTTAGCCTCTGCGTTGGTCTGAGATGGTAACTCTCCAGGTGAGTGGCAGCCTGCGGCGTAATGGTGTCAGGTGGTCTGGATCCATGAATATTGTTTCCGAAGTTCTTCAGGGGCTATCTGTGGTATTTATGTACTTTCCCAGGTATGTATACACAACTGAACAGTTTAAGTCCTCAGGCTAGTTCAAGTTAAGTAAAATCTCATGCTTCTGCTCACCTGGTCTGCACCACTTTGGTCAGCTTGGCTGTGCAGACTCCACTGTAAGTCAGCTTAGCTGACTGTGTCTTGTTTGCTTCACTCCTTCATCACAACTGATAAGGAAGGGAGATGGGATTGGACTCGTCCTTTGTGACTTTGGACTTGAATCTCAAAGCCAGTACTTGGCTTGGCCTCCTGCTTGTGTCCTCATCAGATAGATAGTTCTTTACTTGGGCTGCTCTTACCCTTCTGGTTTGCTTTTGTTTTTTTGTTTTTTGAAAAAAGCAGGAACGAAGTCTGGGTGGAAAGCGGGAGGGAGCTCTGGCACTGCCGAACTTCGCTGTGGGGCGGTGTAAGGCACAGTCGGCCGACCGTGAGCAGGGGGTGCTTTCAGATGGGTTAAGTTAGACCACTCTACAGCATTTCTCAGTTGTGTCCCTGAGATTAGCAGATATCCACTGTAAAAAAACTGGATCAGCCTTGGAAATTTAAGCTTAACACTAGGGAAAAAATGTATCTAATTCAGTAACTGGCTCCATCTTGATTGCAGGGATCTCCGCCCCCGTCGTCTTTTTTGTGGATTACGCTTCCAACTGCTTGTTCATGGAAGAAATTGAAGGCTCGGTGACTGTTCGAGATTATATTCAGTCCATCATGGAGACTGAAAAAACTCCCGAAAGGCTCCTTGGCTTGGCCCAGACGGTTGGGCAGGTTTTGGCTCGCATGCATGACGAAGACCTCGTTCACGGCGACCTCACCACCTCGAACATGCTCCTGAGGCCACCTCCGGAGCAGCTGCACATTGTGCTCATAGACTTTGGGCTGAGTTTCATCTCGGCGCTTCCAGAAGACAAGGGGGTTGACCTGTACGTGCTGGAGAAGGCCTTCCTCAGCACCCACCCCAACACCGAGAGTGTGTTCGAGGCCTGTCTGAAGAGCTACTCTGCCTCCTCCAAAAAGGCCAAGCCAGTGCTCAAAAAACTTGATGAAGTGCGCCTGAGAGGAAGGAAGAGGTCCATGGTCGGGTAGGAGCCTACGCGTGACGGCCACAGACAGAGAGGCCGTTTTCTTCGAGTACATTTGAAGGGATGCCATGAGCGTGGATTAGGCCTGAAAAAGCCAGGCCGTTTCTGTGTGCTGTCTGTGGTCAGGTTCCTTATGCCATTATTCCCTGCGGTCGGTTGTTCCCCCCGCGTCTGTCCGTCCCCCGTGTTCTAGGAGGGACTGAGTATACAGCAAACCTGGGACGGGTGTCTGCCGCGGGTACATGGGCGTGACATTCAAGAACATAGAACCACATCGTGAGACGATTCTACTGATTCCTGGTGAGACCAGAACAGTCTCAGTGACAGTGTGTCTTTACCGGCCCTTTTAACCCCACGTTGGTTTCTCTGCTGTGTTCATGACACTCTTCTCAAAAGCATTGTAGAGGGGTGCACCCCGCATTTTTAAAATGTAGAGTCATAGGCCAGGAGATGCTACATGTGCCTCATGTGTGGTATGGTGGACACTGTTTTGTGAGACTTTATACATATGTAAATACAGACACAGGTGTGTACTGGGTTTAAAGGAAAATGTATTTTTGAGGGTCATGGTGGGAAAAGAGGATGAAAATACGTGACTAATTTCTCTTAAAAACCTTTTATATGACATTGTCTTTATATTTGTAGCTTTGTAATTTTATGTTAACTTCTAATTAAGACAAGTGGTCGAATACAGTTCCTGTTAGTTTATGTAGGTAAAAGAATGAATCGATTTGTATCACCGGCAGTAAGTAGATAGAGCAAAATTGATGAAGTGGTTGGGAATGACCACAGTTTGACGAAGCCTGGTTTAGGGGAAGGTAGAGGAAAACCGAATCGGGATGCCAAGTGCCACTGACCAGCTCACACTTAACCTTGCCCAGCTTCGGTTGCTTGCCCCAGAGGAAGTGAGTGTGGAAGGTGTAGTGAAACCCTTTTGCTCCTTGTCGGCTCCAGCTCACAAGTGAGTGCAAGTAAGTGTTCCGAGAGCAGCTGTGTGCCTGGCGCCAGGGTGGGCACCTGGTGCAGTGGGAGCAAGACGGACGCGGTGCCTGTCCGCGTGGAGGGAGCATTCAGGTGGACTGAGTCTGACCTGTGTCTGTTCCCTTTGGCACGGCCTACACCCTTCCTGGGCAGTGGTGACCTGTAGAGAGAACTAGCGCCACCACCTGGTCACTATGTGCCAGGCATTTTCATCTGGGATCTGAAAGAACTCTGCACTAGGTGTCGCCCCATTTCATAGATGGAGAAACAGGCTCAGACTGCCGTCAGCTTGTCCAAGACGGCACAGGGAGCAAGGGCTACTTTCACCTGCCTCCAAAGCCCATGTTCTTTCCACTGACCCTTTAAGAAGCGACATGCTGGATACGACAGGCCTGTCTTAGGGAATGCATTGACGTGTGGAACACTTCCCAAGATCTCCAAGGGCTACAGGAGCTGGCAGTTCTTTTTCAGTGAGTGTCCTCCACACGGCAGAGGGCTCATTCCACAGGGTCCTCACAGGTACCCTGCGGTGGATTGAGGCTGACGGGGACCTGGCTGGGGAACGACCGGTTGACCCATGTGTGCGATGGGTAAGCAGCAGATCCCTGGCACTCACTGCGTGCCGGGTACTGGAGATGCACAGGGAATACGAGGGCCGCCCTTGCTCTCCTGGGAAGCGTAGTCTAAGCACCCACGACACATGTGCTGTAAAGGGTGCTGAGATCCTGAGTGAGCTCGGGGCGGGGGGGGGGCTGGTCAGGGAGCTAAGACGTGCAGGAGAACCGGGAGACGGGATGTGTGCCCAGGCAGAAAGAAGGGCATCGTGTGCAGAGTTGGTGAGGGAGGAACATCCTCACAGAACGAAGCCAGTGTGGCTGCTTTGCATCGAGCCGGGGGGGGGGGGGGCGGGCAGGAATGAGATCAGAGCGGTGGCTGAGGGTCTTGTAACAGGGTTGGGTTCTATTCTTCATGGGCCACAGAGAGTTTTAAACAGGGAGACCTGTTTTGAAAGGATTCCACTGGTACAAAAAGGACTAAAGGGGGCAAGAGTGGAAGCAGGAAGTGGGTGAGAAGGTTACGCAGCTGACTGGGCCGGTGATGATGGTAACTTGGGGGTGGAGGCGTGGGTGAGCATGCTGTAAACTGACGCCCACTGGTGTGAGTGAGGTGGCTGCCAGCAGCCGTGGGGAAGCGGAACTGATCCCTGCAGGCACTGAGAGGGAGAGGGGCGCGGCCAACTGGAGAAACTTCACAGATGTTCCCGGGAGTGCTCTGTACTCGGCCCACGGCACTGACCGGCCTAATTGGGCAGCGGATCCTTCCGCAGTTCAGTGCCTCACACAGTGCAGAGACACCCTCCGTGTGAATTCCCTCCCGAAACCCCCCAGGCAGGAGTGACAGTCCCCACATTGTAGACGAGGAAACACTCTGAGCAATACAAAATACCATGTCCTAACGTCACAGTAAGTGGCAGAAGTAGGACGCAAGCCCACATTTTTAACAACAATTTGCTGAGAAGTTTGAAGTACTTTATGTGCATTAACCCATTTCACAGAGGAGGCGACTGAGGCAGAGAGAAATTAAATTGCCCAAGGTCACCCAACTAGTGGGCGGCATAGGCAGGGACATGTGATGTGACGCTGAGATGTGCCCAGCACTCAGAAGGACATGGCCCACATCTCCTAGAATATTTCAAAGAGCCTCGTGGGCAGTCCTGGCGTAGTGAGTGCCCGTGCAGGCGTGTTCCGGTTACATTAGATGTGCCGTACACACTAGCATCAAGTGCTGGCTGAGCGGCTCTGGGAACCACCTACAGTATTGAAGCACGTGAGGTACAATCTGCTGTAACTAAGAAAGTCAATCCTAATCCTGGTCCGGTTCCAATGACATTTTAATTACAAAAACAAGCAGCTGGCTTGTGGGCCACCCACTTGCCAATTTGATTTTTTAAAATACATTAAAACATTTGTCTCGATTCCTGAGTGTTTAGGTGCCCCCTTAAGTTGTGCCCTAATAAGAGCCTCTCTCGCCTATTCCCAGTCAGCTGGCTGTCTCTGACTGTGACCATGTGCTTTCAAGGGCCTGTTCCAAACCTCTTTTTGGGGAACCGGGAGTCTCCTTTCTGGTCCTGAATTCAGGGCACTGCAACTCCATAGCGCCAAATTCCCTTTTCCCAAGCCCAGAGGAGTAGCTCTCTCTTGCCACCAGAGGTCGCAAGTTACCGTCATTCCCGGTGCAAAGCTATAAACCAGAATCTTCCCTCCCATTCTTCCTCCGGCACTTCCTTCTCTTCCTCCATCCCTCCTCTTTCTTCCTTTCTCCTCCCTCCTCCTCCTTCCCTCTTTTCTTCCCATTTCCCTCTCTTGAACTTGTTCATTTATTCCCTCCACACTTCAGCTGGGCATCCATGTATGGCGAGCGAGCACCACGCCAATCACTCAGGATGCAGGGAGCAAGACGGACATGGGGATGCCTGCTCCCATCCCATCTTATTTTGGTCACCATTCTCACTCCTTCAGTCGCACACGCACTAGACACACTTTTCCACGTAGCCAGGCGCCTCCCTCAGTGGATCAAAAGGTCTGGGGCTGGGCTGAGAATTTGCATTTCTAACAAGCTCCCAGGTGATGCTGAGGCTGCCTTTCTGAGAACCACTGCCCTAAAGAAACTCAGGGTATCTCAGGAGACAAACTACACCCGTGTTACGGAAGAGGAAGCTGGGGCTCAGAGATGCCGAGAAACTTGCCCAGAGTCGTCATCCTGTAAATAGCAGAGATCATGCAGACATTGTTGCCTAGCAAAAGCTCCACCGTCCCCTCCATCCCTTTTGGACAGAGCCTCACTTGTTCAGCTATTTCTTAGTGGAAAACAGCTTTATCTCAGAGAATCTCAGATTGGTCGTTGATACAGGGTGGTCACATGACCTTTATCTGACGAATAAGACACAAGAGGGAATCTGCACAGTTGTTTTGGGGAAGATACTGCTTCTTGTAGAAGACGAAAGGGATGTGAGAATTCTCTCCATGCCCAGACTCCCACACCTGCCCATCAACATTTCCTGCCTTTAAATGCAGTGGTGATAATTGGGGATTCAGCAGCCATCTTGAGACCATGAGGCCACTCCTGGCCACTCCTGCAGGTAAAGGGTCAATGAGAAGAGGACCATGGAATAGAGAAATGGACAGAATATAACTTCATCCCTAGTGACATCAGACGTTCAACCTCTTCTCCTTGACTTACTGCATGCATAAGTAAACATCTTTAAAGCTGTTGCTTTAATCAGGTTTGCTTTCGTTTGAAGCCAAGAGTTTATAATCAAAAGAGATACAGATTCCAGTCTCCAAAGCCATGTTTGTTTCGTGACATCTATGCCTTCCTGGGCCAGGTCGGGGCATGTTGGGCAGCAAGGGCATCTATCTAGATCAAAGGGAGCGAGCAATGGCAGGAGGATGCCAGAACCTGCTCCCCAGGAACCCCGAGGCAAGAACACAGGACTGAAGTTCAGCCTACTCAGGGCCTGGCCCGTCTCTGCCACCTACTTCCTCTTTGAGTTTGGGAAAAACTACAGACTTCCCTGGGCCTCAGTTCCCCATCTGTAAGACGAAGGGTCATACCCTCGGCCATGCAGCCATTCCCAGCCGGCCCTCTGGCCGAGGCCACCTGGTCAGAATTCTCTGAAGATCATGCCATCCCTCTTCCAAACACTCCAGTGTTCCCACCTCAGTCAAGGTCAGTAGGCCCTCCTGCCCTGCCCCAGCCCTTTCTGACCCCTGCTGGTCATTCTGAGTCAGCCACACCGTTCTTCCAAGTCTCGCTCCCGTCCCAGGGCTTTTGTGTTTGCTGTTCCCGTTGCCTGCAACACTGTTCCCACGGGTCCTCGTGTGGCTGCCTCCCTCACTTCCTGCCGCTCTCCAGCAAGCACCACTGTCTTCCCAGAGCGTGCTGTGTGAAAGGTAACACCCCCAGCCCTCCCGATCTGCCTCCCCAGCTTTAGCTCCGCACCCACTCACGAGCAACTGCTGTCTTCCATGTTTCTGTGCCCAGTTGCTTCCATCTGCTCCAGGGGCAGGGGGCCTTGCTGGTGCCACTGCCTCTGCCCTAATATCCATGGTTAGGTGCCTGGAAAGTGGTGGGTAGTGGTAGGTATTAGTGGGTGCTCTGTAAACATGTACGGGATTGCAATGAATTCTCTTATACAAACCCAACCTGGTTGTTGGGAAGAAAACCAAGGAGCCACGTGAGCTTTCCCCCAGCTACCAAAAACACGAACACACGCACACACACACACAGACACATGCACACCCCCACCTACCCTCCGTCTTCCCTGCTGGAGTTCAAAGCCGAGTTGGTCCTGACCTGCAGCTTGGAACAAACAACAGTCAGAACCCTGGGAGTCTGGCTCTGATCAAAGGCCTCCTCGTGTTTGTAAACCTTCACTCCGTGCCTGGAACAGAGGGGGTCCCAGTGCTAGGCCAGGGGAGTCCAGGGCCTGCCTGCCCCTCCCCCAGAGCGAGGGAAGACCCTGCAGAGTCACACTGCTGTGTGACCACCCCCAAGGCATCGCAAGGGGGGACTTACCCCAAATGCTGCCTGAGGTCCACCAGCGGGGACTTGCTTCAGTGGCAATATTGCTCTTGGAACAGCAGAGGCCTTCACCAAATGTCACATGGAAGGACGCTGGCCGAGGTCCAGGGCTTGGTGAGTAGAGTGGGGGGGGGGCGGCGCGGGCACTGAGATTCCCTCCTGGGAAGGGGAAGGCTGGTGCCAGTTCTCCCCTCACGCTCTCTCCCCTCCCCCTGCATCATTTTTCTCCATAGCACCAACCACCGGGTAGAATGCTATAGGCCCCACTAAAATGAGGCATCTGTAGGAGCGGAGGCTTTCGTCTTGTTGGATCACTGTGATAGGCCAGCATCCCAGGCGATGCCTGATCCGCAGTAGCTGCTCAATTAATTTTTGTTGAATGAATGATATTCAGAATCCTAATGGATGTTCATGATAACAAAATACAATGATTTAAAGCAGGTTTAATTACTCAATATTTCTTGAGCCTCTACTGTGTCCCAGGCTATGTTCCAGGTGTTGGGGTTGTGGCCAGAAACAGTTTGGACTCTTTGTTCTCATAGGGTTTAATCCAGCAGGGACTAATTGGAAATGATAAACCATGTTGTGGAGGAAATAACTCAGGAGGATTTTGTACAGAACGAGTGAGGGAGGCTGTGTTTCATCAGATGAGGTGATCATGGAGGCCCCCCCGAGGAGGTGACGTTTGAGCTGAGACCTGAGTGAGTAGGAATCAGCCACTATGATAGGAAGTTGGGGAAGGTGGGAGAACGTGAGACCCAGGCAGAGGGAGCAGCTGATGCAAACAGCAGCCCTGGCTGGTGTGGCTCAGTGGATTGAGCACCAGCCTGAGAAGCAGGGGGTCGGTTGTTGGTTCAATTCCCCGTCAGAACAGGTGCCTGGGTTGTGGGCCAGTAGGGGGCACTCAAGAGGCAACCACACAATGATGTTTCTCTCCCTCTCATTTTCCCTCCCTTCTCCTCTAAAAATAAATAAATACAATCTTTTTTAAAAATAAAAGAAAAAGAACTTGGCATATTCAAAGAGCAGAGAAAAGATCAGAGAGGGCAGTGCACAGTCATTGAGAAGGTGGCAGGCAGCACCTGGTCATTTATGTAAGTGCCCAGCACAGCGCTGGTCACAGAGTGAGCCCTCAGTAACTGGGCCAATGACTGCAATCAATACATGATGCACAGTGTACATAGATTGTTATTCACTCCTTAAAAATGGACTGCGGCAGAGTAGCAGTGTATGTCACTGGAATTTCAGCTCTACCGTGCACTAGCTGTGTGACCTTGGACAGTTGTCTCAGTCTCTCTGAGCCTAAGTTGCCCCGTCTGTCCAATGGGCATACCTACTAGGGAAAGAAAATAAATGGTAATCAAATCGTCCGCTGACTGTGGAAGTTCTTTAAGAATTCCCTCCCACATTCTACTTCCTCTTCAGTGGAAAGGGCGGAGAGACAAAGGAAGTTCTCTGGTCCAGTCTGGGGTCCCCTTCCCTCCTGCAGGGCTCTAGGCCATCCTGCTGAGGGCTCCTGGCTTTCGGACGCTCCTTCTAAGAAGCTCTTCTCCAGGTGAGAAGTAGTAGTTAACTGTTGCTGTGTAACAAATTGCTCTGGATTTAGTGGCACAAAACAACTATTTACGCTCACAGATCATGCTGATCAGAAATCTGGGTGGGCGGCACAGGGTTATCTTATCTCTGATCCAACTGGGCTGAAGAACTCACAGGTGGGAGTGGGCTGGGGTGGGGACTGGAATCATCTGAAGGCTGAATCACTCCTCCAGTTCACCATCACTGGCTGCTTGCCAGTTCCCTTGGTTTCTCTCTGGTTGGTTTTTCTTCCTGGTTTAGTTTGAATGACAAATATGGTGGCTGGTTCAAGGGTGAGGGTCTCAAGGCTGAGGGAACTGGGCAGAAGCTGCACCCTCTTTGTAGCTCAGCCTTGGCAATCTCTAGCATCTGTCTGCCGTGTTCTGTTCATTGGCTCATCACAAGCCCCCACCCACTGTCAAGAGATGAGACAGACCCCACCTCCCACGCTGAGTGGTCCGGAACCCCCGGAGTGGGCAGAGCGTGAGTCCGAGGAGCACACCATGCACATCCAGGGTGGAACACTCACTGGTGTCTCCTTGGAAAGTGCATCTGTCACCAGCAGAACACTAACTGTTGTCCCTCATTGAGCATCGACTGTGGGCAGGTGCTGTGCTACACACTTGCCTGTTAATTCTCCAAACAGCTGTTACTTCCATTCTATTCTCGTTCCCATTTCAGAAATGGGAACTGATGCCCACTGGGATCAAACCTCTTGCCTTGGGTTGTGCAACAGCAAGTGGTGCAGCCAGAACCTCAGTGTAGCTTTGTCTCATGCAGGGTGGCTGTTGGAAGGGTTAAAAGGGATCATCCAGGTGAAGCACTGGAAACCATGCCTGGCATGTGGTCCGTGCAGTGTATGTTGTTGTTACTGCTGACAATATTATTATTACTACTTCTGAGCCGCCAGGTCGAAACCTCTGCTCTAATACTAAGTATTATACTCTTAATCTCTTAGCTGGTTCCAGAACAAGGAGTCAGGCCAGAGATGTCCACTCAGGGAATGGACCAGAGTTTCTATGATGCTAGCTGGTCCAAACCCCCAGGAATAGTTTTTCCAGTTTGGGGTACCCCATGCTCCCACTCCCAGGCTTTGAATGTCCAAGGTACTCCCCACAGGGCCTTTCCCTCCATCCAGTGTTGTCTGATGTGAACCCGACTGAAACCTTTGATGAAGCTGGTTATTGGGCTAGTTCACGGTCAGGTCCCTAGTCTGACCCATGGGACCTGACTAGGTCAGGTCCCATGTCCCTAGAAAGGACATGGGAGAAAGTTTCGTCACAGCCTACAAGGTCCACTGGGAAATAACTTACCTAGGGTTCCAGGAATCAAAGAAACACGATCCAGCCCTGGCTGGTGTAGCTCAGTGGATTGAGCGTGGGCCTGCGAACCAAAACATCGCAGTTCGATTCCCCGTCAGGGCACATGCCTGGGTTGCAGGCCAGTCCCCAGCAGGAGCCAGTTCCCAGCAGGAGCCAGTTCCCAGCAGGGGATGCACCAGAAGCAACCATACATTGATATTTCTCTCCTTCTCTCCTTCCCTTCCCTTCTAAAGATAAATAAATAAAATTTAAAAAAAAGAAAAAAGAAACACGATCCAGGTAGGAAGTGAGCACCCCGTTCCTTTCTGGGGCTTTCTCTTGCCTCCTCTTATCTCCCCGAATTTCAGACCTTCGCATTCAGGTTTGGGATTTCGCTGTGGCATGCACTTTGCCTCATGAGTTACTCGATATTTTCCTTGGAGTGGCTTCACATTGTAAACTTCAGTGGGTTTAATTCAAGATGAGGATGTTAAAAAATAAATCATGGGCTTTAATAAACAACAAAACTCACTTGCTCTAAGTCAAAAGTAATGATAAGAATAAATAAAATAAAAATCGATCATTACCGTCCGATGTTGTCCAAAGCCTCTGGTTCTCAAGCCTTCTCGGGCTGTTACGAGAGCTGCCCAAGTGCTGAGTTGTTAAAGGGATACGAACACCCAACCGAGACCCTCTTCATGGTGTAATAAAGAGTTACAGGGAGTACTTTTCACTCTGTGGGATGAAATGTCATTATTTAAATGCCGTGTGGCACAATGTGAAACAGTCTGTGTTTCTTCTCTGGTGCGCTTCCCACTGCGAGAAAGATCCCACTATCTCATTACATCATAGCACCAGCTTCTTTCTCTCCTGGCCTCATCAGACTGTCAGCAAGAGCTTCCCGCCCTCCTGCCAAAATATATCAAGAATGGAATCATTTCTTACCAAACCTGCCCCTGCTACTCTGGTTTCAACCATTAGCATCTCAGCCCAGAGGATGTTTTAAGTAAAAAGTGTATCCACTAGGATGACCATCCCAAGGAGCATGTGCCAAACACAGCAGTCGCTCTGAGTAAGGGCAGAAGACTGAACGCTTCCTTCATGAGATTGCAAACCACACAGAAGCGACTGTTCTCACACGCCTATTTAACCACAGTGCTTGAAGTGCTAGAAAGTGCACTAAGGCAAGAAAAGTAAATAAAGGGCATACAGATCATAAACGAAGAAATAAAACTGTCCTTATTGTAGATGACATGGTTGTCTGAGTAGAAAGTCCCAAAGATTTGACAAAAAAAAAAACTGTCCTAGAAGTAATAAATAAATTGATACAAGATAAACACTCAAAATTCAGGTCTATTTTTGTATACTAGCAGTAAACATGAGTGCACTGAAAAAGTAGAACAATTTACATTCTGCAAAAAAGTAACACGTGTAACTCTAACAAAATATATAGGGATTTTAGGCTAAAACTGCAAAAATGCTGATCAAGGAAATTAAAGAATTCTAAATAAATTGAGAGGCATACCATGCTCATGGATTAGAAGAGTCAACATAGAAAAGATGTAAATTCTCTCCAAATTGATATACAAATTTAATGGCATTCTACCAAGATCCCAACAAGAATTTTTTTGTAGATATAGACAGGATTATTCTAAAGATTTACATGAAAGTTCAAAGGAAATACAATAGCTAAAATAATTATATTTAAAGGATAAAATGGGAGGGATCAATGTCCCCAATTTAAAGATGTCATATACACTTACAGTGATCAAGACTGTGTGGTCTATTGGAAGAGGGACAGACAATTAGATCAATGGAACAGAATAAAGAATCCAGAAATAGACCTACTACATATGCCTGATTGACTTTTGACAAAAGTGCAAAAGCAATGCAATGGGGTAAAAACAAACAAACAAACAAACAAACAAACAAACAAACAAAAAAACCCAAAACCCTTTTTGAACAAATATGCTGCAGCCAGTGGTCAATAACAGAAAAAAAGAGAAATAAGGAAAAAAACCCTCATTCTAAGTCTCTCACCTTATGTAAAAATTAACTTGAAAAATATAAAACAAAACGATAAATTGTCAAACTTCTAAAAAAAACGAAGTGAGAAAATCTTCAGGATCTAGGGCCATGCAAAGAGTATTATACCCAAAAGCATGATTCCAAAAAAAAAAAAAATGGATAAACTTGATCTCACTGAGATTATAAATGTTTACTTTTCGAAAGGCTGTTAAGAGGATGAAAAGCCTGGGAGAAAATATTTGCGAACAGCGGATCTGCTGAAGGACCACTACCCAGAATGAATGAAAGACAAAGTGCCACTGAAAAGACAACGGTCCTGTTAGGAAATGGCCAAGGGCAGGAAGGGGAAATTCACTGGGGGGATATGCAGATGGCAAAGAGGGGCACAGAAAGACCTTAAACATCGTTTGCCCGTAGGAAAATACAGATTAAAACCACAATGCAGTGTCTGTACACCCCTCTCAGAATGCCTAAAATAAAACCGGGGACAACACCAAATGCTGGCGAGGATGTGGAGAAACTGCATCACTGATAGAAACTACAGTGGTGCACTTTGGAAAGATGGTCTGGCGGTTTCTTTAAAAGCTACCATACAACCCAGCAGTCGTGGTCCCTCCCATGCATTTATCCAAGAGGAAGGAAAGGACTCCTCCAAGGTCGAGCCTGCAGATGCCTCACCCACCCTGGGAGAAAAATGAGAATAACGATCGATATTGACACACGATCTTTCCCACCGAGGGCTTGCTCAGTGCCCAGCACTGTGCTAAGGCCCTTAAACGCATCATCTCGGTTACACTGCTCCACAGACCTGTCCTCAGTCAGGGACCGTCATTATCGTCACTCTCACTCTGTGGGAGTAAACTGAGGAGCAGAGACCTGTTGCTCAAGCCCACGCAGCTAGCCCGTGGCAGACAGAGCCAGGATTTGAATCCCATTAATATTCTTGAGTGCTTTAGTCCTCACACCGTCACTATTGCACATTTCGCCGGTGAATACACAGCGACAAGGAAAGATTAAGCCAGTTGCCCCAGGTCACATAACTGGAAAGTCGTCGAGGCTTCAACCCGAGGCCAAAGTGCCTTCAGGGCTGGAGTCCGGTGCCTAGTTATCGTGCTTAACTCTTCTGAACTTTTCTGGCCTCTTTCACCCAGTCCCGGGGCTGGGCGTGCGGAGGGCAAGCACCACCCTTTTCCTCCAAGGGTAGTAGGGAGAGATGGCAGGTCCTCAAGTGCAGTCCCCTCCCCGGCCCGCCCCCAGGCTTTATTAAAGGGGCGCGTGGTACGGGATCCGGCAGTCCGGGCCGGCCTGCTCCCCCGCAACTGCACAGATGGCGGCGCTGGCGGCGGTGGCCAAGAAGCTGTGGAGCCGGCGGCGGCTGCTGGTGCTGCTGGTCACGCCGCTGGCGCTGCTGCCGGTGGTCTTCGCCCTTCCGCTCAAGGTAACGCCTCCTCTGCCGGTGAGCCCCAGTCCCGCCTCCCGGCAGCGCTGCCAGTGGGACCCTCTCTTCCCAAGCCTCCACTTGAGAGTAGGAACCAATGAGGTCCTAGTCCAGGCAGGTTTCACCAGTTCCCCCTCTATCCTCTCCTGTCTGATGCTCTGAACGCCCCCACCACTCCTACCGTTCCCCAGCTGCTCCTTGGAACCGGAGTCCTACCCAGCTTTCTGGATCTTCTCGCTTTTTCGGGAATGATTTCTCTTTTTGGAGCTCTAACTACAGGCTTGGCTGCTGTGCTTGTGGCCCATTTCCCTCTGTGATCACAATGAACACTTACTGAAGGCCAAGCTGAGTGACCTGGGGCAAGTCACTTAACCTCTCTGGGGGAAGTGATAGTGCCAGCCCCTAAGGTTGTAGTGAGTATTAAATGAGGCAATAGTCATGTGCCAGGTAGGCATAACGAGGTGCCCTTTTAAATTTATTTTTATTGTTGACACTATCACATATGTCCCCATTTTCCCCCTTTGCCCACCTCTACCCAGCCCCCGACCCGCCTGCCTTCTTTCTGTGTCTGTGGATCATGCATGTTTGTCCTTTGGCCAATCCCTTCACCATCTTTCATCCAGTGCCCCCTCCCCGCTCCCTTCTGACAGCTGTCAGTCCGCTCCATGCTGAGTGAAACAAGCCAGTCCGAAAAAAGACAAATACCGTATGATCTCACTTAGGCGTGGAATCTAACGGACAAAACAAACTGAGCAGCAACACGGAAGCATAACGGTGTTTCGGTGGCATATACAATGGTGGTCCCCTGACATTACGATGGAGCTGAAAAGTTCCTGTTGCCCAAGTGATATGTGGCCACCTGGATGCAATGAAACCTGGGCCAAGTTCAACACACACTAGGAGCAAGGTCAGACGAGTGCCAGATTTATTGGGGTGATCACTTCATAAGTCTAATCACCGGGTTGCACACCTGAAACAAATATGGAATGAGATGAAGCATGTAAGTTAGCCCTGGGCCTCTCTAAGGGTTTGCTAAACTTGGCTGCCCCCATCGTGCAAGGCGCCTGGATTAAGACCCACCATTATTAGGCACTTACTGTATGCCAGGCCATGTGGCACTGAGCTTTGCCTTATAGGCTTCATCTCATTTAACCTTTTCATTAAATGTTTTTATTTTTCAGTTACAGTTGACAGACAACATTATGTGAGTTTCAGGTATACAACCCGGTGGGTGATCAGACTGACGTAACTTATGAAGTAAGTGATCACCTCGATAAACCTGGTGCCCATCCTCATGCGTTTGTAGAGATGCGGGGGTAGACAAGCCCACCGTGCTGCCAGTCCCATGAAAGCACAGAACATGCAGTTCTGTGCCGTATGTGACCCTTGACAGTGCACGACTATGGTGCTGGTTTACGATTTGCTCTTGTCAATGTACGAAACGTCCAAACCTGGAGAGAATTTTTGTGGGTCCATTTGAGCTGAGCTGATGACAACGGCAGGGAGGCAAGATCTCAGTGGATTGAGAAAATGCGGGAGGGTGGCAGTTTCGCGGTTCGTTTTATAGATTAGAACCAAAGGAGGAGGCGAGGCAGGGGCAAGGGGGTGACCGGTGGTGGGTTAGGAGGTGGGAGGGTGCAAAGCAGGGGCATCTCTGAGATCGGATAAGGATGGGAGACCGCACTTCTACTGGGTGGGCACCAGACAGTGAGCCACGCACGTTTCCACACATAGCGATGGTGTGCGGGGGACAGGATATCAGGAGGGGTCCTGGCGTCGTCCCCTGCTCTGGTGGGAGATTGTGCCCTGAGGAGTCTGCGCAAAAAGGGACCACTCCAACATCCCAAAGGCCTGTTATTGTAGATGCAAAAAGACAACAGACAAGGCTCCCTGGAGGGGAGCACACTCTGGACCACGGGCCCAGGACAAGTCCACCTGCCCTGACTCACATTTGGTTAGAAAGTTTTACGTTCAGACCATCCCATGAGGTTACTTACGGTCTCTGAGTTTGTAAGGCCTGCTATGCAGGCCTCCCCTGAGCTCATTGGGTGTGGGATGTGGCCCCCTTTCCATCCACACTCTCCTATACTTTTCACTGTTACTTTTATTGTTATTTCTACCTACAAAAGCAAGTTTGCTGTAAGCGGTAAGCCCTGTTATGCCTGCAGCAGCTTCCCACATCACATGCATACAATCTTTGATTGTATCACGTCCTCACGTGCTTGATTTAATCTGGCCCAGCTTGGTACAGTACCCTGCTCCACAGGTTGTAGCCCAGGAGCAGTAGGTTAGACCGTGCAGCCTGGGTGTGTTTTGTGGACAATATTTCCACGGATTGGGGTGGTAGGGGTTGGTTTCAGGCGATTCAGGAGCATTCCATTCGAGCTCACCTCCTGTTGTGCGGCCCAGTTCCTGACATGCATAGACCGGTACCGGTCTGCGTCCAAAGTTGGGGACCCCTGGGCTAGACTATCTCGGGTTGTGTAAGTGCACTTGGTGATGTCCACAGGGTGATGAGATTGCCTGAAGATGTATTTTCTCCCGTGATTAAGTGGCACATGACTGTATATGTAAATCTCTTAGAACTGAGCCCGGTATGCAGTAAGTGCCTAATAATGCACTGGTGGGTCTTAATCCAGGCGCCTTGCACGACGGGGACAGCCAAATTTAACAAACACTTACTAGGAGCGAGGCACAGGGCTAAGCTTTACCGATGTGTTTCATCTCGTTCCATCCTTTCTTTTATTAAAAGATGTTTTTATTTTTCTATTACAGTTGACATAGAATATTATACTAGTTTCAGGTGTACAACCCGGTGTTAGACATTCATATAACTTATGAATTGGTCATCCCGTTAAATCTAGTACCCATCTGACACCATACAAGGTACATATTTATTACGATATTGTGGACTGTATTCCCTGTGCCACATCCCCATGACTGTTCTGTAACTTCCAATTCCTACTTCTTAATCCCTTCGCTTCGTAGTCCCTGTACTTTCCCAGTGACTCTCCCAGCAGGAGGACTATTTACCTCATTTTTCAGAGAAGAAGAGCGAGGCTCAGAGAGGTGCAGTGACTTGCCCAGAATCACACAGCCAGCAGGGTGGAGGTTTGGTCCCTAGCTTGTCAGAATCCAGAGCCGGACAAACTGAGCTGTTTCCAGACTCTCAAAGAAAAGTCTTGAAGATCAAAGGCTGCAGGATGATGTCGAGAGTGTCGAATGGAAATCACTACCTACGGGGGCTGGAAGGAGATGCTATGGCAGGTCTCTGTGGGCGGGTCCCTCACTCGTGCCCATTCCCTCTGAGGCACCCTGGGAAGACACTGGGTTCATAAGACAAGGCTTCTACTTCCAGGAAGTAGAAGGCTGTGTGACCTTGGGCAAGTCACCCAACCTTGCTGAGCTTCCATTTTCAGTAGGGAAGCTAATGGCAGCTGCCCCTCAATGAGATATTAATGTTCATAAAAGTAAGAGTAACGAGAGGGTGTGATTCAGTGCACTACCCAGCACCTGCCAGCACAGACCAGGGGAGCTGGGACAGGTGTTCAGAGAGAACTGCCTGGGGGAAGGGACCCTCCTTGGGCTTAGGGAGCGAGGAGGGGATGCCAGGCGGTGCCCAGGAGACCCAGAGCTGCTGCGCAAGTGAGCCCTTTAGTGCGGAATTATCCCACTAGACTGCAACTAGACTTTCTGGACAAGGAACAGAAGAACAATAAATGCTAATAGAATTAGGTCACTTTTTCAAAAAGCATTCCATCCCTAGCCACTTGCTGGTCTCAGGATCTTGGACCGACCTCCTTTCTTTTAAGGCTCTCACTCTCCTTGCCTGTAAAGTGGGGCGATCACCATCCCTGGTGCAAGGATGGATGGGTCGGCGGAGCTCCGGGGAAGAAGTGATGAAACACGCAGGGTCTCTCTCCTCAGCAGAAGGTTCTGGAAACTTCTTTCTTTGCTTTGCCCTCTAGCAAGATCTTTGAACCCAGGAGCAGGTCCAGGAGTTATGGGGCCTGGAGTCTAAAGTATTTGAGGGGCTGTGTTTAAGAACAGGCACGCAGATTTACAAATGCATGATTGAGTGTGGAGGTTGGGAAAGGAGTGTGAAGCTGCGTTAGCTGGGCGGTGGATCTGCTTCCCCGAGAACCCCACGTGCAGGGGTAGCAGGAGTGCCTGTAACCCCCTGCGATGGTGGTAGCCCGATGAGCAAGGTGTTTCACGGAATGCTTCGCTCTTACTGCTCCCAGGCACCGTGCTAAGACTTTCACAGGCATTGTGCTATGCAACGTCCATATAGCCAGAGGGGCAGCTGCCATTAGCTTCCCTATTGAAAATGGAAGCAAGGTTGGGAGACTTGCCCAAGGTCACACAGCCTGTACGAGGCCAGATGCAGGGTCTGTGCTTCTAATCATTGTGCTTTCTACTCTTCCCTTCATTATAAATGAATGAAAACCTCTCCTGGTTCCCTACAGATCCCTGGTGGGGACCTTCTGGTGGCCCTAGATGTCACTGCCTCTTTGCATGGCTGACAAACCAATAAGGAGGGAAGTCTGGCTTCTTGGGAGATCTTGGCCTCCTTCCATTAGCGCCCTTGAAGCCCCTCCTCCATGTATATATTTTAGATATTAACAACGGACCTGTTTCTCAGCCTAATGCACGCTGTGAATAAAAGCATCCGAGAGAACATTGAACAGAGAACACTGCTGTTTTTATTGATCCCTGACATACATTTGAAACAAACAGAGTGGGTTGCTTAGGCAAACACAGCTTCAGAACAATCTGTGTGATCTTACTCACTTTCAACCCTGCGATAACTCTTCCAAAGCCTATTGGTTTGACAATATGCTGACTGTGCAAATGTAGCTTCAAGGCCAGGGTCCTCGGTGCCCACCCCCACCCCCAACATCAGATCGCCACTTCTAAGCCTCTGTCACCTAGAAATTCTGGAAGCACCAATGCAAGTCGTATTGTACACATGGGTGCCCCAAAACTTTTGCAAAACTGCAGATATCAGGTCAGGAAAGAGGTTTGAGATGCTTGGGCGTTTGCCCTTGGCCCCTGTTTGGGTCCTGGTTTTCCACGCCACTGTGGCTCTGGGGTCCTAGGAGTCTGATCAGTTAAATGGGTTGGTTCTCATGCACCTGGCCCATGGTGACAGGTGAGCTGGTCTCTGGGAAAGCTGTGGTTAATCTGAAGGGCAGATGGATAGGGGGAGGAACAATCTCACATTTGTCCTCCTGGCTGAGAACGCTGTCAGCGGGGATGAGAGGGAGTGGGGTGCACTTCTGGAATGCAGTGGTTGCAGTTTCCAGCGCCACTGGGGATCCGGCTTTTGCTATGAAGAATGCTGGAGACTTGGGAAGTCAGGATGTTGCTGGGGGGGACTGGCCTTGGGCAGCTCGTGGGGACAGACGAGACTACCAAAGCAGGCTTGCGAATAAGTGCCAGCCCCGTGTGTTTGCACAGAAGGCTCGCCCCCTTTTCTGCCTTCCACCCACCGAAAGCAGATTTGGCCGGACTGACCCTCTGGCCAGTTCTGACAGTGGGTGCCCCCCCCGTCATTCTTTCTAAGGATGTTCTGAGGAGGAGGAGTTTGGGGGTGCTGGCAGGCAGGCCTGCTACAGAGTGTTGTGCAGGCAGTGTGTGGTACAGGCGCCTTGAGGAGGCAAAATGAATAACTCCACCTCCAACCTCCACACTCCACAAGCAAAACCACGCACCCTAGTGCCAGGCTGGATTCACCCAAGGGAGAGCCCCCTTTCCCAGTTGGTACAAAGGCAGCAGCAGACTTGCGCTGGGGTGGTGGGTCTTTTTAGGGAGTGGTAGTGCACCTGTAAGATCAAAGACCTGCTTCTTTGCATTTGCCTAACTCTTGGGTGGGGGCATTTGGGAAGGGTGACCAGGAGAATGGTCCTTTTGTTCTCAGTTTTGAGTGTTTTGGATCAGAACCCTAATTCTCATTCCACATACTTGTTCTGTGACCTTGGGCAAGTTGTTTTACTTCTCTGGGCCTCAGTTTCTTCATCTATAACATGGTCATATTAGCTTCCTCCTTGCTTATTATTTGGGCCAAGTGAAGTCATGTATTATGCCTGCACCGTAACTTCTTGCATTTTTATTCAATGCTCAATGTAAGTTCTGATTCTCCCATTCTGCGGATGAGGAAACTGAGACTCCGAGAAGTTAAGTGATAGCAACAGCGTGGATTTGATTTGGAAAGACTCGGGTTTGAGTTGTGGCTCTGAAACTATGAGGCAGGGGAGCCCGACTTGGCGACCTCACATTCGTGAGTCTCGGCTTCCTCCTTTGCGAAGTGGGGAGGGTTTATACTCCGCAAAGAACTGCTCAGAGAAGGCACAGAAATTGTCCGGTGCAGTGCCAAACATTAGTGGGAGTTTTTAATAATAATAACTCCTCATTTCCCCCATTTATGTTATTTTAGATGCCCTTCACATTTTCGGTCACTTACCTTTCACCTACACCATAAGAAGCAGGGATAATAATTACCCTCATTTTTACAGATGACAAAAGTGAAGCACAGAGAAGTTAGGCAATGTTCCCGAGGTCACACAGCTACTAAATATTAGTCTGATATCTTCTCTTCTCTTGGTCCTGGGTTTTGGCAGACAGGGTGGCCAGGGTTCCAAGAACCCTATGAGTCTTCCCCTAATATGGGTTCTCCTCCCAACCCCTCAAAATGATAAGCCGAAGCCTTGTTGATCAAACATCTTCTCTGGCCAGACACTGCCTAGTGCTTTTAACCTGTGTCATTTCCTTGAACCCCAGAGCTAGGAGAGGGACTTTGTCCATATGCACCCCCAAAATAGCATGGAGTCGGATTTTGTTTTCATCATCCAAATACCACCCACAACATTCTGGCCAGATCCTCTTACCACTTAATTACATGCATATTCCTATGGTTTACTCATGTGTTGTGTTAATTCCTTACTGCCCCTGCTTCTTAAAAATACATAAATACAATGACTTAGAAGAAAGTTTTATGTCAGTGCTGTGTGAGGAAAATCAGGCTCATGAACAACGAATAGAAGAAAACTGGCAATACAAAGACAAATGTCCTGTGCTGGTTAATTCTGGCTGTATACAGCTATCTATAGCCTGCTTGAGGCTGGGGGCCGGAGACCTGCCCTTTCCTTGTTATGAAGGGAAGGGTGTGATCAAGAGAGGTGTTAAGATAAGCCGGTACCAAACCGAGACTGTGTTTTGGAGGGAAATTGAAGAAGGAAGCAGAAAGGGAGTAATGTCAGAGGTCTTGACTGTCCGGTGAATGGTCCCGAACCTTCCACAGTTGGCCCCCTTCGCTGCAAGAAATACTAGACTCGCAGCCTGTCTCTGTACAGCAGGGTCGGGCAGAAGGAAGGCCTGCTTGAGTGTGGTTGGTAGGATAATAATATGGGTGTAATAATTCGTAGTTTTTTGTTGTTGTTGTTTTAATTATTTACTTATTTAAAGAGAGAGGGGAAGGGGAGGAGAAAGAGTGGGAAAGAAACATCAGTTTGTGGCTGCCTCTCATGGGTCCCCTACTGGGGACCTGGCCCGCAACCCAGGCACATGCCCTGACTGGGAATCGAACCACAAACCTTTGGTTCGCAGGCCCATGCCCAATCCACTGAGCTACGCCAGCCAGAGCTAATTCATAGTTTTGATTTGCACATTTTACCTAGAATGTCACATGGTGTGTTTGAGTGTGATACGGTTATGTTACAGAATTACGTGCTTGTGATGTTGTAATAAAAGATTTTGTAATAAAAAGGGGGCACTGTTTGTGCCAGGCTCCATAGCTCTGTACCCTGTTTGGAGATTGGTAGGGTTGGCCGTCAGCCTCGTTTCTTGGTTTCCTTGTCTGTAAAACGAGGGGGACACCTAGGTGACCTTCTTTCCACCATGCCCCTTAGTGTCTGACAAGTGAAGGAAATCTCTTGGCCTGGGGTTGACCAGACAGCAGCCCACCAAAGATGCCTGTGTCCTACTGGTTGGGTGGATGTCACCTGACATGGAAAAAAGGACCTTGTACGTGTGATCAAGGTAAGGAACCTCAGATGCGGAGATGATTCTGACCATCTGGGTGGACCAATGTAATCACATGGTCTGTACAAATTCGAGGCATGAAGGTCAAAGTCAGAAGGGAATGTGAGGTGGGCCCACGGCCAAGGAATGCAGGCGGCTTCTAGAAGCTGCAAGGCAAGGAAAGGATCTCTTCTAGAGCC